CAGAGGATCCAAAGCAGGCTCTGTGCTGACAACAGAGAGCCCGATGCGGGGCTCGAACTCATGAACTATGAGATCTCACAGTTGAACACTCAACTGACTGAGCCACCCAGGTGCCCCTAAACATTTTTAAGTGTACAGTTTAGTGGCATTAAATATATTCACATTGTTGTGAATATCACCACCATCCATCTCCAGAACTTCCTCATCTTCCCAAACTGAAACCCTGTCCCCAATGAATAACCACCCCCTGGTCCCTGGCAACCACCCTTCTACTTTCTGTCTCTATGAATTTGTTTTCCTGCTTTTCATTATTTTGGGAAGTATAATTGATGTATAACATTATATCAGTTTCAAGTATACATTGTGAAGTGATTGTCACAAATCTGGTTAATATCCCTCACCCTACGTAGTTACAAAATTATTTTTTCTGGTGGCAAGAACTTCTAAGACTCACTGTCTTAGCAACTTTGAAAGTTTATGTATTTATTTTGAGAGAGAGAGAATCCCAAGCAGACTCCACACCGTCAGCACAGCCAGATGTGGGGTTCGATCTCATGAACCATGAGATCGTGACCTGGGCTGAAACCAGAAGTCGGATGCTTAACCGACTGAGCCACCCAGGCACCCCTCTTTTAGTAAGTTTTAAATATGCAATGCAGTAAGTATATTATCTATAGTTGCCATGCCATACTTTATATCCCTATGACTTCCTTCATTCTTAGCTGAAAGTCTGTACCTTTTGACCCCTGCCTCCCTTTGCCACTCCCCACGTCACCTCTACCAACCACCAGTCCTCTCTCTGTGTCTGTGAGCTCATTTCGTTTTGTTTTGTTTATTTTTGGATTCCACATGTGAGATCATACTGTATTTGTCTTTGTCTGACTTATTTCACTTAGCATAATGCCCTCAAGCTCCATCCATTTTGTGGCAAATGGAAAGAGTTCATTCTTTTTTTACGGCTGAGTAATAGTACTCCATTGTGTTGTGTATGTATTATACATATATTATTTTCTTTATCCATTTATTCATTGAACAGGGGGGTGCAGATATCTTTCCAAATTAGTGTTTTGGTGGGGGGTCCTGGGTGACTCAGTGGATTGAGCATCCAACTCTTGATTTTGGCTCAGGTCATGATCCTAGGGTCATGGGATCAAGCCCCACATCAGGCTCTGTGCTGACTGTGGAGCCTGCTTGAAATTCTCTCTCTCTCTCTCTCTCTCTCTCTCTCTCTCTCTCTCTCTCTCTCTCTCTCCCCCTCCCTCCCTCCCTCCCTCCCTCCCTCTCTCCCTCTCCCTCCTTCTCCCTCTCTCTCTCTCCCTCTCTCTCCCTCTCCCTCCTTCTCCCTCTCTTTCCCTCCCTCTCTCCCTCCCTCTCCTTCCTCCCTCTCCTT